CAATAAATGCTTCTCATGCTTCATATGAGAGGGTATTCATCCAGCATGTCACTCCCTCACTTTCTCTCTCTCCATGTCTACTAAAGTGAGTGTTAAGGCAAACTGTGCAAAACTGATGGCAGTTGCTTTGGTGTTCCATTGTTTTTTATGGCACCTGACCCACGTCTCCATCTTGCAACTTCCTTGAACCCAAAAGAAGACCCTTGAGCCGTCATCTCACTTAAAATATAATCTGCGTGTCATTCATAATATATTTTTGTATTTGTATTTCTATCGTAAATTACTCAAATTTGATACTAAGGACTGATTTTGATCTTCTCCCTGAAGGATTAAGGATAAACATTTTACACTTCTTATGGCCCTTTCTGTTACAGAAAATAGATGCAGGGGTAATCAAGTGAGGCACAATATTAAGGTAATTCAGCAGGATTCATATATGTGTGTAAGTGTACCTTATCTGCATCTTACACACCTTTATCTTTTGTGTTTTATCCTTTTAATATTGTGTATAACAGAGGAAAGGAAATCCAGTTCTCTCTTTTAGTTTTTTGTTGTTGTTATTATGATGTAAGTGTTGGTTGTACGGTGTTTGAGACTGGTGATTGATTTTCACTTTGTAATTACCAGCTACCGCAGATGATGAAAAGGAAAATATGAATAACCCCCCTTCCTGGGTTCATTCCCCCATTTTCACTGAATCCATGGTATGAATAACTTTTTCGCAAATTACTTTTTAATATTTAACTAAGCTGAAATACGAAGGTGTTTATGGCCCAGTTTTTAATTGAATGTCCAGGTTATCTCCTATTTTATTTTTCTAAATCATTTTTTCGTTCTGATAGCTGATGATTTGCCTTATTTTCTGTGTGACGCATGGCTTTTGTTATTTTTAAATCCCCACCTGGTTTATATCCAATAATCATTCTCTCTGTATGGATATTTTTGCTGGTTTTAAAGAGTGTTTCTTATCATGTTTGCCTCACTTTTTTTTGTTTTTGCTCCAGTAGACTGTAACATTAACATCCATGTCTGTAACACGCTTTACATCATGTGCTTAATCCATAACAATAGTTTTACTTGCATCTCAAAGGCGGTATTAACACACATTATGACCCTAAAATGTCTCCATACATAAGCCCTCTGACAGTTTCTGCTACAATTTGCACTGTGATTATTTTCCTCCGGCTGTTTATGCCACTGCTTTGGTTTTCATATACATTTTACATGAAAGACATTGTTTCACTTCCAGCTTCATGCGGAGCATTCCAAGCATTGCAGGGCACCAGGCTGTGAGATTTCTGTACTATCCTCCACGGCCTTTAGTCCAATTACTGCTACTTGAGAAAGCCCCTTGGGATGGATCTCCCTTGTTAGCGATTAAGAGAAAAGAATTCTGTATCTATGCATCCTACACTTACATGTGAGAATGTGAGTTGTGCATTTGAGGCAGTGCCGTTGTAGAGCTCTTTTATGCAGGGCTAGTTCATTTGAACAGTCAGCAATTTTCCCTGAGGGCCAGTGTGCCCAGCTGTCAGAAGAGAGAGGCGCAAAGTAGTCTGTCTACATAAAGGAGAAACAACAACATGAAATTTGGTCTGACACAGTTGATAAATGTGTGTTTGTACTGATTTATGTGTTTATTATGTAATGATTGATTTACCAGCAGTGTTTCTTGCCACACTTCTTTTGAATTTCAGTGTTCTGTAGTAGAAAACATTATCAAAACGCTGTTCAGAATTTCAACGTGTTCTGATGACATATTAAAATAGAAAGGATTAATTAATAATTAATTCAACTTTAAAATCTCATTTAAAAACACATACAAAATTTAGACTTAAAGATAGTCATTCATTTATTTATTCATTTTTGCTTACACATAACTGGATTTCAATAAAAAAAACAAAAAGAAACCATATAAAAAACAAACAAACAAAATTCCTAAAAAATCTTTTTTCTTTCTTTTTTTTTTACTTGTCTCTGAAGACATTTGAAACTGATTTAATTCCATCCTCAAATTGGACACACAACAACAGTTTAACGGCACAATTTAACACTGATCTTGCATTAAGGTCCAATTTATTGACAGAAAACGGCAACCAACTTAATTTAATAACAGTGATGGTGAGCTTAACAAAGTGAAGTTGCTTGATCATTTAATTAATTAAATACATGTAAAACCAGGTGTTCAAAAGAGACACGTATTTCTCAAGCTGGTATTCAGATCACATTACCAGAGTGTTGGTATGGCGCTACCTCCATTCCAGTTGAGTATGATTGCCTTTCCCTTGGAGTCGGCCATGTCTTTGCAGAAGTTCCTTAAAAATCATAGAAGTAGCTCTGATTTGCTAAGCAAGTCTAAGGGTTTATATAACCGGTCTCTACCCGGCAGAGTTTCCGAAAGCTTGTTTCAAAGTCAACACTCCAGTCTGATTACATTCTATGAGAGGCTTTGTTTCTGATCTTGACATGGTTGGAGAAACTGAAAGTTAGAGGGCACAATGTGCTTCATAACTGGAAATTATTAGTTACCACTAACTCTGAAAACAACTGGAAGACATGGCAGTGTTGGTGATTCCCCCATCTAGATTCCTGGTAGGTTATTGTACACGGACGTGTGTCACCTGTTTTTAGTTTGAGAGACTTCCCATCAGCACACAGGTTTAACGTCACTGCTGAATGATGGAATGGGGTTTTGTGTGTAATCCATATTCCTGTTCGTTAAAAAAACATCATCGGCACTCTGAGGGTAGCCATGGAGTTATGCTTAGTTTTTGTGATGACAGATAAATCTTTCGATAACAGATTAACTGACAGTGATCACGTTTCACGACAGGAAATTAAGACTACCCCGTCTAAAGACAGACATTTAATGACAGACTAAAACTGCAAGGAACGAGTGCCTTTTTTCATTTCTCCTTCTGAGACAGAGAATTGTTCAACACAAGATAGAATTAGTGCAAAAGTAAAACAAAATTTGATGTAGCGCTCCCCTCAGTTAATAATAAAGATGAGGGCAGGGCTTTT